TTTGTTGTATTCAGGCTCTATCCTCTTAATGCTAGGTGCAAGTCCCTGTGGCAATGTTAGAAGCTTTAAAAGCTTTGGTTTTGATAGTAAAGGATGTTCCAAAAGACTTTTATGATATATATAATAAAAAAGCTACTAAAATCTCACAAAAGTGCCACCAGAGACTGATTTCTTGTATCTCATCTAAGATGTACTTTGTGAACTTTGTAGATTCCCAACACTTTCAAGTAACGGTGTAAATTCACCCTTATGGTGAATCATCATTTTTTACATCAACAAATTTCTCTTGTCCAGGATAAGGGTTTACATGAGCCACTGAGGGGTTCAACTTACAGCTACAGTTTAGCAGTGATATCTGTATGGATCATTGCTCAAAAAGAGGGCTTACAAACCAGAGAATGAAATCTACTTCTGCCTAGAGAATGCTCTGAACAGTGGCAAAATGCATGCTGGAGGTTGTGAAAAGTGCTCTGCGATGCAACTTTTTTAATTAGAGCGAACTAGAATGACTGTGATAATCAGCCGCAAAATGCAGACTCTTAGACTTATCTGCTTATATGCAGAGACAAATGAAGATTTAGACAAAAAATAAAAGACTTTTATCCATTTCTCAAATTTTTTCAAACTTCTGATGAAAATCATGCAGCAGAGATCTGTTCCTTTCTTATCTCCAAGGGAGAATGTTTGCTAAGAAAGTTGAAATGTTTCCTCTCTAAGAGAGAGACTTTTAGTTTTTGAGGTCGATTCTAATACAATTTCTTTTTAATGCGTTGGTTTTTAAATAATCTTTGTAATGCACAAAGCAAGGGAGAATCTCTGAGTCTTATTGAGCAATATCGTTGTGTAAGACAAATATACTAAGAGGGTCTGTGCTTGTTATTTCTGCACATAGAGAAATGTATGTTGGAAATGGATGTTGTGCAGAGGACAAATAGAACTGAGTTATTAACTTTTCCCGTCTGTGACAGAGACTCTCACTGTTCAAGACAATTGTTCCCTGACTCTATATAAATGCTTTGAAGTTCTACACATTAACAAAAATATATTCTAAGGTGGTTATTTCTTTCAGAAAAACATTCTCTAAATGTTTAAAGGCTGAAAGCAAGTACTGGACAGCTAGAAAAAATAATTTTGAAAGTTAGCATTGTCATTTTCTGTAAACTGACAGGTTATTGTAGACTGTCCTCATGATGTTGCTTAGCAACAGCAAAGCTGAAGTGGAAAGCCACTGAAAGCCACTTAAATTGTTAGGTATGAGAAATAAAAAAACATCATTTTAGGCTGGCCCTTATCAACTTTTCACTACGTGAATAGTGATGCATGGGGGAACATCAGTTTCTGCTCATGTCCTACAATCGTAATGTGTGTAGGAAAATACAAAGCCACTTTTGTTCTAACAATGCTATTTATACCTGTTGCTGTGTCTCTGCAGTGGGATAAGATTCTTGAGTTAGATTCTGTCCTATGTAAAAGGCTACCTGTATCCACACCTGCTCAGGGTCGGACCCTGGCAGTGCTGAACTTCATAAAAGTTGCAGTTGTTTCTGTACTGGGGTTGTGGGGCAAGGTTTTGGAGTGGGAAGAGGGCTACAGGGGTGGCTTCTGTGAGAAGCTATCAGAAACTTCCCTTGAGTCTGACACAGCCAAAGCCAGCCAGTTCCAAGATGGACTTGCCTCTGGCCAGGGCCCAGGCCATCAGTGACAGTGGCAGCACCTCTGCATTTACACACCTGAGAAGGGGAAAGTTGTTGCACAACAGCAATTGTAAGTGGAGAGAGGTGTGAGAATATGTGAGAGGAACAGCTTTGCTGACACCAGGTTCAGGGAAGAAGAAGCGAGAGTAGGTGCTCCAGGTGCTGGAGCAGAGATTCCCCAGCAGCCTATGGTGAATACCATGGTGAGGTAGGCTGTCCCCCTGCAGATCATGGAAGTTAATGGTGGAACAGTTATCCACAAGTTATCCACGAGTCATATTTTATAGTCACTTATCCGAGAGACATTGCGGATTTGGTAACAACCTCCATGTTCTCTAAATTTGCTTGTCCTCCCTTATTGCCATCCTTTCCCTCCTGCAGTGTTGTTACTGACTATAAAATGGCAAATCCCTCCATCATTTTCTGTTCATGTCTCAGTACCATTTACCTGAGAATACAACAGCTGCCAAGGGCTGCCGATTAGACTTGTAGGCTACAGTAAAGAAAAGCTATTCCCAGAGAACTGTTATCTGCTTGTTTCAGTTTTGTAGAGAAGACAGTTATTTTCAGCAAATTAAAAGCAAGCCACTGAAGTGTTGCACTTGTCTTTCAGGACACAGGAATATTCACAGAGGCTCACATCAGGGTTCACTTACTTGATGTCCTGTCTACTGCTAGCAATGAGATGCTGAACATATATGATACTTCCTCCTAATGTTCCTAATATTTCCTTTTCAGGAGACCTTATGAACCAAATGTGGTCTTGTATATGTAGTAAACCTTAATGTATTTGCCTTCTGTATAGAGTCTGGTTTCCCTGGGAACACATTCAGCCCCTTTCTCATTTTTGGCAGCAAGTTCTACAGTTCTGCCACTTACTGAGAAAGCGACTCTATTTTCATCCTGT